CTTTCCCAATAAAGAGGTACTGCCCCGTATACTCACAAAAGCAGAACAGGTAGAGCTGTAGTGATGTGGAGCTGGTCGGAGACTGACGGCGCTGACGGCTTGGACGGCAGCGGCAGAAAAACCCAGGAAGGTGCGAGAAAATTCCGGCTAAACGAGGGGTTTGGAGGTTCTTGACGCGGTTTGGCTGGGCTTCGGCTGCGGGACTCGGGCAGCGGGAAAAGCGGCACGAGTGAGGGCAGACGCGGAGGCTGCGGAGGTTACTTGGACTCATAACAAATTGAGTGTAAATTGGAAAGTGATTGATTAAGCCGAGGTTAAGCTAGGCTTCGAAAATGTTCGCTTTCTAGAAATTCTCCATTAGGCAGCGCTAGGGCGATGTGGCTGCCATTAACTTTCACTTGCGCAAGGCATTCTGCATGTTATATGAGCTCATGTAACATGCAGAATGGGCAGATTATGTATGACGTGGCCGTAAGGCGATATTTGATTTGTGGATCAAATATTTCACGCCGATGTGGCTCAATAATTACCTCACCCATCGGTGCGGCCATTGACGTATGATGTTGAAGCCAACTTAATTTCGAGAAAGTCGAGTTGCGTATTTCATTGAGCGCAGTGGCAGCGACGTTTCACACGTCGGATTGCTGCCGAAGCCGCTTGCAAAACGTCGCAACTGCAACGTTAATGGCAGCTGGCACGTGTTACAACGATGCTGAACAATGAAGTTGGGTTGAACTGCAGCAGGTCTGGCAAATGTAGAAGCAATGCAGCAAAGATATGCAAGCCGCATAGAAGACATTGTACTTCGTAGCTTCCCCCACGAAGTCACATGTATTGGAAAGTAAGCAACTCAGCAGCGTTGAAAATGCCCCCAGTAAGTTCAGAACTGCCGGACAACGCACATCAAGAAGGACATCGAGCGCAGGTGGCTCTACGTGTACGTCTCGGTCACACCCCGCGAGGTGCTTGGCAATCTTTTGATCATCACGTAGGCTTGTTCCTAAACAATCTCACAATCAATTTTGAGGTGACCATCAAAGACTGAGCTTTTACCGTTGTGTGCATAGCCTTACTAGTGTATGGATGGACCAGTGCCCTCCCATACACACCCATTGCTTGTTTATCTTGGAGGAGTTTGTCGTCCCCTCGCCGTGTCACGGCGGATAGAGTGCGATTGCAAGTCCACTGTCAATCCAACATAGTTAAATTCTTGTGCGACACCTGCAGTACATGTTAGCAAGTTCGAATTAATTGTCACACCTGTTTATCGAAGCTGTGCCTCCAACTCTTGAACATTTGATTGATGAAATGCTCAATGGACGGACGCTTGCGTATTTTCCTGGACTGAGTACTCGAATCCTACCGCGGACATCTTGAATGATATCCAAGTCGTCCGCGATCTCAGTGAGGTGGGCCTCATGCTGTAATAGGCGCAGTTCCCATCCGCTTTCTCTTACATTCAGGAGAAGTGAACGCCAAAGGTGATCACTCATCAGGATAAATAATGCTACTGTATTTGGATTGACACTACAGACAACGACGGAATTTAAGGGACACTTTCTACTTCGAATTCGTCAAACTAACGAAGGATGATTGGCTGAAGCACTTCGAAATTCGGAAAAATTTCAGCCAACCAAACAACAGGTTCTTTGCTTTTCCCAATTTCAAACACTCGAGTATCTTAAATGAACCGGTGATCGTGCGTTCCTAAGTGTAAGCTTTTGGCAAGATAGCGCAGTGGTTGAGCGAGTAGGTTCGTCAGAGAGCCCCGGGTTCTTGGCCTGAGCTCGTTATCTTTTTCCAGAAATTTATATAAGTTCGGCAAAACATCGACTAGTAGCTGGCGGACAAAACGATTCAGATGAAGGACGAGCAACTCATGCAACTACAGAAGCGCATCTACGACATGGAAGGGATTGGAAAGGACATGGAGAAGGAAATGCATGGTTTGCGGTACGAACAAATTGTGCTCCGACACACGACGGCACCCCTCATACCTGACTGCGACAGAGACGAGCTCAATCGCCGGTGCCTTCGTGCAGAGCTTGCCGAACAGGAAGCCGAGGACTTTCGTCGTCGCGTGCGAGATCTTGAGCATCAGCTGATTGAAAAGAGCAAAATGATGCAGGAACTCATGCTTGACTCGTCCGCATCAACGTCCTCGGTCAGACATCCTTTCACCCGCTTCATGACACTCACAATTCTCTTGTTTCTCTACCAGAACGCTTCCAAGGACATGTCCTCGGCGTCCTCGTCAAACCCGCAGACCTACGCGCGCCGACTCCGTGACGATGCTTCAAAACGGGAAATCCATCCGAGCACATGCCACCGAGGTCAATTCGGTGTGCTTTAGCGGCAGTGGCAAGGTGGCGGCGTTCACTGCCAGCAGTGACGGCACCGTACGAGCGTGGGATTAGTACTCGTGCCAGGCTAAGGCAGCCTACCGTGGCCTCGGGATGTCGCAGCCGCTCATTTTCGTGCGCGTCTCCGAAGACGGCGAACTTGTGCTCAGTGAGAAGAACTAGCATATTCATGTATCGGCAGTGTGTCGATAAGATATCGTGTCCAAAATACGACGTTGACCGCACGTAGGAACGGGATGCGATCGCATTCGCCAAGTGTGGCGAGTGGGGACGGGTCGCATTGCCCACACTCTGCTGGGACACAAGGTAAGGCCAGCAAGAAATGCGTCGCGGAATGCGATATCGATGGCCTGTGCTCGATGTGGTGGTGTTGTTGACGTGCCTCGCCGCGATGCCCAATGGCCTGGGGCGCTTCGCCGTGTGGCGACCAGGCGGAAGCAGTCAGCGTTGCCGATGGAGTAGTGGGGTGCCCTTCAAGTGTATGGCTGGTTGATTCGATGAGTTGCTGTCTCGATTGGAGACTTAGCGTTCAACCTTGCATTCAACGACGCCAGTGGGAACTGACCGCTTGTGGGTGCTAGGGAAAAGTGAATTTAAAATGTTTTCGCGCCATGCAAGAGTTTTGACCAATCGACACATCGCACGTTAAAAACTTCATTGTCATTGGTTTGTTCACTGACAGCTGCAAATTTCTTCGGCTGTCCCTTAAGTTCCGTCGTTGTCTGTACCTCACCGGTCACACCGTCCTGCTGGATGAAGTCCATGAAATATGAACTTAGATCGGATATTTCCAAGAGCAGTGCAAGAGCCATGTACGAACACAGGAATGAACTGCTCTTGTGAGGATAGCGCGAAACTCCTTCGAGCGAGGATGTCTTGAGACGCCTCTTAACGTAACGAACAGGTCGCCACCGCTCATTTAACTCCACTAGTTAGGAGGTCAATATTTACAATTTCCACAATCCAACGTAATCAAGATTGTGCCTACCTGACTGCGTGTCAGCCCCGTCGAATCAATGGACCGACCGAGCATGTGCCAGAAGATCACAAGAGTGCAAAGTACATGAGTTAAAAATCGGTCCATTTTATGTGTAAGTGACAGTCAATTCAGTTTAAGTATAACTTACACAAACATGCATTATATTTGCAGAATTTTGAGAACATATGTCCACCGGAAGTTCGAATCTGTTCATATACTTCCTCTGTCCCACAATACGTTACCGTATGACTTCACATCAACGTATGACTTCACATCAACCGAAAGGTTCGTTTCCGCAACCCAAAAAACCCACTCCCGCACCAAATTCGATTTAAGATATCATTATATAAAGAGCATTAAAAACCACAGGAGCCGTCCATTGGCTGTCGAGGGCTGAATTTGAATTTTGGCGCTCAATATCTACTTCCAATATCCACGACCCGAATAAAAATACGCCACATATTTGAATTTGCCGCCATGAGCCAAGCCTCTCGAGAGATATCAAGCGCCAAGAAAGTTGAAGTGATCCAACACCTGCACCTCTAACTTAAGGCTGGCAAGTTAGTCCGTGGAGCTTTCAACAGAACGGGTGAAGAGCTAGCCATCAGTCACCACACCGTTGCCACCGTCTGGCGCACGTTCTGCAATACCGGGGCGGTCAACTCCAACTAGGTGGGGAGAGTTGGGCCGAAGCCACTATATACGACCCTGTGCGCCGGCGCCATGCCGGTCTTCTGATGTCGAACATGTCCTGCACTGTCTCGCTTGAATTGTAGGCAAGGATTAATAACCAATGAATGTATTGATTGTCTTGGTGAACCAATCATATGAGTTTGATTTGAGTAATGTGGAAAACGTGTGTTTTTCTTTTGGTTAAGTATTGTGGGACAGAGGATGTACGAAGAATTCAATAGGATATTGTCTTTAGAGTTAATTGGATATTTGACTCGTTGACTAATCAAAATCGCGACAGGGATTAGCCAATGAAATTGGATCTTCCTGGACTCCTTTGGGCAACTGTGATGCATATTTTGGGCCTCATTTATTCGATTAGGAGTAATATACTACTCGGGCCCACCGAAGGTGTCCACTTTCGAAATTGGTCGAGGCCCACTGAAGGTGTCCACTTTTGATTTTATTAGTCAAAAATGTAAGAAAATGATATTCATTGGTTAAAACTCACACGAAATAGGTGAGAGGGCAAGCGACAATAAGCGCCTCGGGGGGCCATTCAAGTGGTTCTTTCAACTCACCGCGCCGTCTCTTGGAACGCTTGATCACACGCTTGATCTTGTAAGTATTGTTTCCTTTGCTCTCAACAATCGATTGCATAACACTCTGCATAGTGAGGAAGATATCATCCAAAGTAGCGGCGGGAACCAGCTTGAGAGATTGCTTAACGTTTTCGACGTGCTGTTCGAGCGTGTCAG